AACACATTTTCTTCTTTTATTCTGGGTGGCAGAATAGAGCTTTTACTAAATTTGGCGTTACTTTGCTCCTAGTTCCCCTACAAACATGTAGATGTAGATCTTTAAGTCCCATATTGCTGATTTGTATTTTATGATATTGTTGTATATCATATTTATTAGACGAGAAACGATGAGGGATTTAACAAAATTAATTTAAAGTGTAACATGTAGCAGATGCCTTATATGGTAAAAATACAGTTACACACGCGCCGTTATAGAGCCTTGGCGAAATTTATTAGTGATGCTCATATGATTAATTCATTAATTCATTCATTAATTCGGGTAGTTGGCGCAGTTCTGAAAAAGAATGTAAAAATAACAACGAAACGTTATTAATTTCGTTTATTTACAAAGCAGAACAATACAAGCACTGAATGTATCTTACTATATAGTATACTAAAAGTGATCAATTGATCAAAATTGGTAAATTAACCGTGGTATTAGTAATATAGCCAACCTCAAATGTATGAGGTTATCGATATTACAAAGTATGGAAAGATATAAAGCGCTCTAAGAACCTATGCGTATATTTTTACTTTACTACTTAGTGTGATTTCATATATTTGGATCTACGAAAAAAGAAAATTCACGATAATTCAGTTATTTACACAGTCATATTTTCATCTTTTTACAAAAAGAAGACATTAAAATATTAAATAATACAAACTCAATTAATATTGGACAACTACATAACATGTTATTAGCACAATACAGATGTCACCAAAAAAACTAATTAAAATTTGACTAAAGATAAAAACGAATGACTGTAAGTATAACTTGCTACGTGTACTGTCGGTTTGAGTGGATCTGATGGAAGAAACATCCTAATTAAAAATTACATACAGTATTTTAAACAATCTTTTGCGAAAAACGCGGCTTTCGATTTTATTTTGTGGAATCTTCATTAATCAATCAAATTCATAAAATTGTGTTGACGAAATACAACATAATTTTTCGATTGTCACTGTAAAACAAAAGATCATACCAGTTAAGACTGTCTACCTAAATGGCTCTTTAGGTAGAAAGTTCTCAGTTTAACGGTTAAACTTTATACCCATTTAATAATTAAACCAAACCCAGTGAAGGAATTGAGACGTCTTCTCTGTCTACATAAATGGCTCTTTAGGTAGAAAGTTCTCACTTTAACGGTTAAACTTTATACCCATTTAATCATTAAACCAAACCCAGTGAAGGAATTGAGACGTTATATTTTTAGTGAACCCTCCAGTGGTTTGTCTGTTTCAAATATAGACTTAAAAAAGTTTTCTAATATAGCATATACATATAGATATTCTACTTGTGAAAAGTAGACCAGCAAGTATCAGACGTCAGACATTGGAGTTTCGGCACAAGACAAATATGTGCGATGTAAAAAATGAAATATCACAAAGATTGAAAGCCCTATAAAAATTAAAATAACAATAATGAAGAGTGTCCTTATAAAATTCACTACCTAATTTGTCACATTTTTACAGAACATTTTAAAATGGATCGGATGGTTGTTTTATAATTAAAGTTACATTATTAAACACAATTTACACTTTATGACTGCTTTTAAGTGCTCAATTGGCTCATTCATTCTTAAACCTCGGTTTCCACTAATGCTACTTTAAGTTAAAAAGTACGGTTACTATTGCTAAGACTACATACTTATTTCACTCTTACATAAATATAGGAAATACTACTTAGAATGAAACAAGCAAAAATAATTGCTTTTAACAGATACAAAGGTTGGTAGAAACAAAATCAATACAATAAAAGCGAATAACGGTTAAAAACAATAATTAACATCTACGTACTATATTCTACATCCATTACAACTACTGATGTAGTAAAGTATAACCTTCAAGTACGGATTTTTTCAAATATTAATTCAGATAAACATGACAACAAGAAAGAATGTAAAGAAAACAGTTGTGACAATTTAAAATCAAATAACGGTAGGTTTCTAGAAAGCTAGTTAGCCCCGATAGGACGATAACATAACGATTCAAACCTGGAGTTAACAATCAATTATACTAAAGCCAAACAATTCCGAATGAGTGTGTTTTTTTGTGGCTTCTAATTCTAAATATGTACACACCCAACAAATGTTTTGGGAACAATAAGGAAATCTGAAGTTAATGTGTTACAGCATTTTTGTTTCAAAGCTTTTCCAAAATTGGAATTATTGATTTTCTAGAAATAAATTATTTATTTTCTACAAAGTCTTCCAGGTACCCTGTAATAAACATATTTAATATCAGAAACATAATCAATCTCAACATAATAAAGTAATAGGCGTAAAAATTAGAAATTAAATATTTTTCCACGACTACTTATAATAATTATTATTCCAAAATTATTCATTGAGTTAATTAGCAAACCATATTTTCGTGTAAAATCAGAGAAACTTTAATTACATTTATCTTTACATCATAGTTGCATTGACTACAATCATGATTAAAACCACGTCAAGTGTAATGAAAGAAACAAACAGTCTATCTACCGGCCTAAGTTTGTCCTCCAAACAAAACGCATCAAATGTTTACTGCAATTAGTTGTTTGATAGTCGTGAAAAAGATACTTATATTATTTGATTCTTGAGTTATGATTACTTCGAAGTACGATACCCGACCGGTGAGCTCGCAAAGCAGTTTGCAAATAAAACATTCTTAACCCTTTCATATTAAATAGTCGTCTATCGCATATAGAACTGAAACAACTGATGCTGCGGATTGTCACACCGAAAATTGTCCGTCCATTCCAATCCGTCATCCGCATAAACAAATCCGCAAATGATTCGTTTTCGAAATAAAAAAAATTAAAATTATTTTTCTAGTCCTCGTTCAATTTGCGGAAAAAACCTTTCTTGCCTTTTTTTCGGATGGGGTCTTTTTGATGCAAAAAAGGTGATGGGCGTGTTTGACGCGACACAAGATTAAACTCTTTCTCCACTTCTTTGATTGTCGCATTAGCGCAAATATTCCTGGTGGATTTCTTATTTAACCACAGCCGTCTATAATTCGATTCCTCAGGTCATGAACATTTTCAATTAAAGTGGAATAAACTAATGATTAAAGAAAATCCCAAATGCAAAAATCTAGGAGATCTAAATCCGGCGATCAAGCAGGCCGATGTTGCCTACCTCAAATGTTGGTCTATTTATCTCGAAAATCGCTGTTCAGATAGCCAAACTCACCGTGCGCTACGTTCAATTTACCGTCGGTTTTGCACAATGGTTGGCATGCTTGCAAAAGGCAAGATATATTTTTTTACAAGAAAACTATTTTTAATTTCAAATATATCAGTGACGTATCATCATTAACAGTATGCGCGCCAATGATGAACATAAAATTCTTAACTGCATGTGAATAAATACGCAATGACTACCTCTTAAAACGCACCAAATTTCATTTGCCTATCTCGACCGGTTTCTGAGCAATAAATACATATACCAGACGTCAGTTTTTAAGAAAAACTTTAACACCCCGTGTCTCGGAAACGAATCATTTTAATTTTTACTCCAAAGAATAAGTGTCTGAGCTTGAATAATCTGATTCATAAATATCATTCAGCGTAAAAAGTTGCATCAAATAATAATGAAGGGGAGGGAATATATAACCTACTTATTGTTCTCTCAGGTATCTTCTACTGTTTGTTAGTCTGGTGTAACGATTGTTCTTTATCCCATTCAGTAACCTGAAAATAAAGAGAATATTTAAATCGACGTTTCTCGGCCACAAATGGTTGCTCATCAGAGTTACTATCTTGATAGGACACACAGACCTAATTCACGACAACAAAGCGAGTCACTTGAACTTATCAAACGTTGTAAAGAACTGTATACTCGTTAATTAAGGCGCTAAAAGAAATGTAATTTTGTTTTTCAAATGTTCGGCAAATTTATATCAGAACTACTATTTTCATCAACAAATTATGTTATACAGCGTCTAGACCTGACGCGACGAGACCCCGATGTTATCAGTGTAATAAAAATAATGAAAACATTATTTGGAAAATTCGCCTCCCTGATCGCTCTAAAGATTGAAGTTTAATTAAAATTTCAGGTCTTTCCAGTTTTAGTAAAGTTTTCATTAAGCAATTATTTCTAGGCAAAAAAACGCATTATTTTTAATTTTACTTTAAAATATTGACAATCTCCAGGTATTTTCTGTGAAAAATTATAACATACATTTTATTGAAACTCTTTCCTCCGTAACCGAATTGTTGGAAAACCTTTTGCAGCTTCGAATTTTGGACAAAACCATTTTTTCTGGGTTTTTTCTTCCAAAGATATTTTACCGAACAGAAAAAGCGAAAGTCTCTAATCATTTATTTGGAAAACTCTTGGAAACTGGGATTTCTGCACTTTTAGGTCAATATTTCTAAACAGAAAAGCCGTGGTTTTTCTCAAGGTTTTACTGTAAAGTTCTGGCAAACTGAGTCTTTTATGCAAAAAAATTAATAGATCGATTTTACAAGAAAACTCATAGACTTTCTTCGGACCAAGTTCTGTTGCTGAGAAAATCTAGGTGTCCATTTTGAGTTGTTTGGACAAAGTAGTAAACCGTTACTCATAAAACGTTTTTTAGATGTTAAAATTCCGGTGTGGTGTCTCGTAACGCTTTAATAAATGACTTATAACTCATTTTCCTGAGTTATAACTCGTTAACTCAGAGCGTCAACAAGTCATTAGCGCAACTCAACACGGAACCGCAAAAGTGATCCTGATATTTAAATAAAACCAAGTTCATTAAAAAATTTGAAAAAAAGTTGTGGTAAAAATAAAATACGATACGATATGAAAAACACATACCATTTGGTTCTACGTTGTTGGGAGCTGCTGGACTTGGTTGCTGTGATCCGCTGGACTGAGCTCTACCATGAGAACTTTCATACTCCATGACCTCTTGATAGATTAATTCTTTCCATTGCTCGACAGTGTGCTCTCGTTCATCCACACTGTGATCGTACGGACCTGGCGCAGGCTATTGTATAAATAGGAAGGCAATTACCCCTCAACGCCTACATTTTCAACGAGATAACTACTTACAGCATTTACTTCTTGTTCATCATACCACACGTTAATATACGGATGTAACAGCGCTTCATCTACAGATATCCGAGACTGGGGATCGATTACAAGCATTTTGGACAACAAATCTCGCGCTTGTGTAGCCTGGAACAACAATATTTATTACTTTGTTGGCCTTTGCAGAAAATTACAGTCAATTTGTTATGTAAATTATTAACTGAAACACAGTCAAATAGCTAAAAACAAAATAGTTTTCATGTGTTAAAAGTACTAACTTTTTCAAGCATTTTTTTAAAAGCACTGTGATCGGTCAGTGGTTAACATCAGAAATAGAACATAAAATCACTTAGGTAAAATGATTAGATGAACAATCTGCGAAGAAGGCCGTACAAATGTATACTATACCGCAGTCACCTGAACCTCTTATAGATAGTAAAACCCACCGATCGAGAAAACGACATATGCTCAGACGGGAACTCACAATAGACATCGAGGAACGTTGAAGACGTAAAGTTGTTGAAAGAACAACTTGGTGTATGTCTGAATGAAATAAACTTACCTTTAACCTATTATGCTCGCTACTATCCGAAGGGAACAAAACATCGGGAAATAGCTTTTCAAATGTGAATCCAGGATATCTCGGTCGATTTTCTACATAGTTCCTTACAGTAAGTTGCAGTCTCACCATGAACTGTTGAGAAGGCGTTCCCAATTGTTCTGTAAATAAAACCATATTCAAATTAAAAACATTTTTAACTTTTAGTTTCGAAAGTTTGAAAATACTATGTAAGCAATATTTAATATCTGACCACCGTTTGTTTTATGTTTAGAGACAGTGTTCTTTAGAAATATTGACCAAAAAGTGAAGAAACCCCAGTTTCCAAGAGTTTTCCAAATAAATTATTATACCAAATAACTTTTTGTAAACTTTTGCTCTCTGGTCGTTTTTTTTCAAGATAATCTTATTTCTATCAGTAAAAAACTAAAGAAAATAATTTGGTTTTTCAGCCAAATTCGAAGCTGAAAATGATTTTCTCCGGTGCCTGAGATACATGTTCGTAGGAACTTACCAATAATCTTATTCCACTGATCAATATGATCAGTGCCCGGAAACAAAACTCCTCCGCGAATCATTTCCCCCATGATACAACCGACTGACCATATATCCACGTTTTCAGTATAGCCCATACCTAATATCACCTGCAATACGAAAAACATACGTTGTTTAATATTTATAAGGCTAATTTGAAATTTAATTTCACAACTTACTTCGGGCGCCCTATAATATCTAGTTACAACATATGGCGTCATCATAAACGTTGTTCCGGCTGTCCTGGCCAAACCAAAATCCAGAATTTTTAAAGTGCAATCCGACTTAACAACTATATTACTAGGCTTTAAATCCTGGAAAAAAGGAAAATGATTAAACTTTTAACTAAAAATTTGATCATCTACAAGTTATAAAAAATATATATTGACCTATTATTTTTTGCTACAAAATATTAAAGGTTTAACTATACTTTCAAATAAACCTTAAGTTTGCTGTATAACATAAGTCAACCTTGGTCGATTTAAAGTTCTTTTGCTCCTAAATAAATATTCCTTTTATCTTGTCATTTTTTTGAGAAAACAAAATATATACATGGTGATTCAAAATTGGCGTCCCTCCTTTTGAGGGGTTATAGGGGTTCACTTGGAGAGTACGAGAAAATATAGAAATTTAATGTGCTACTACTAAAAATACTTCATAATATTTAGCTGTATTGCATAATATTTAGCTGTGGAGTGTGTTCTAACCCACTGAGTACTCTCGGCAAGATTCAATGTGGAATGAACTTCACGATCAGTTTGATCTGGTGTGTAATCTTACGAACTAATAATTTATATCCACAACAAAGAGGCAACTTTGCGCAAACAACGGAAAACATCCTCTCAATCTGATAGTTTCAACAAAGCAGATTTTAATTTAGATAATTGCTTACCCTATGAATAATACCCGCTGAATGTAAATGCTTTATACCACACAGCATTTGATACAGTAGATAGCTCATTCTTTCGTGATCCAGATCCATTTGAATCACTTGACACAAGTTTGCATCCATTAGCTCCATCACCAGGTAGACATCTTGGAATTCTTCCAAAGACCTTTGAGGAGTGAATGCATTTAGAAGACCAATTATCTGAAAAAAACATACACAATAAGAATAAAAACCACACATTTGCCATTATGGGTGGATGTAGCTCTAGTAGGACTCTAATTGGACTTTAGAGCTTCCGATTTGTTGAGAAACGTTGGAATTTTGTGTTTTTTCAGCGCTAAGTATCCACATGTGCAAATAAATGATGTTTTTGTGATGTGTAGGAATTATCGTCTGTTTTTCAGTCCTCAGTCCAAAATGTAATAATGTGGGTAAAAAGGTTCAAGTCGAATTAATTTTTAGGATTGAAGGGCAAACAATGTAATAGTTGCCAGTTTACCATTTAAAACATCCAGAAAGAAAACACTTAAACGAGTGGTTGAAATAAGACAGTTGTCTTACCGTAACTACTTTAAGTACTGATCAATTTGGTCAAAAGAACTAATTTGGCAAAGTGTAAGAAAAGCTGACTTGATTGACGTGATTTCAAAATTGGCGACTGAAGCTTTCAAGAATAATTTAGATGTTTTCTCCTACAAAACAGACGTACTTGGAAAGTCTACAATTTTTTTTGTTATGAATAAACGTGTGAGTTTGAATAATGCAACAGAAAATAGTACTTTTTAGCCTGCGCTGAAACGTATATCAATTTTATCAAGTTTTCTTGCTCATTAAACTGTAACTTTAAATTAATTTTCCAACCATTATTAAAATCCCAACATTCCCAATCCCAACAGTAATTGGATGGATGGATTGGATTGTATAAAATAAACATACATATAGATTGGCGTACTAAAAATATTATTACTTACATTTTTGTGGTCAACTAATTTCATTAGTTTAAATTCTCGGTATGCTCGCTTTGCATGGGTCACATTCTGGAATGGTCTGCTCAGCTTCTTAATTGCCACGTTTTGTTGGGTTACTGTATCAATTGCAGCGCTAAAATAAGATGCGAAATTAATGCAAAAACGCATTTTTTACAAAACACTATAAAACTATAGTCAACATAGTTATTTGAATATGTAAAACAATATAACTAAAATGCTATAGTTAAACATTTGCATTCACTCAGCCAGACTATTTTCACACAAATGTTCAATTCATAGAAAGCATGAGGTTGTCAATTGGGACTGGAAAAAATAATTGCCTGCATATAGCTGCTCTATATTGGACGTATCCAATCGGGTATATCAAATTTTCAGCAATAAGTTTTGTAAGGGATGGAACTGACAAGCTACTATGGTTCTTATATTCAATAAGAGAAAATGAAAGTAATTCTTTATAAGAACGCCTATTTGTAAACAGTTGTAGAACTGAAAAATCTCTATTAGGAAAAATTGGAAGTAAAGCACGTATAACAAAACAATTTACTCCATATAAATACTATTGTTCAAAATGTCTACTTCAATATTGACCATATGTAAGTCTCATTGAAATACGATTAGCCAATCTTGTAAGAGAGGGAATTCACGTTTAGAGACGTGTTTGGAAGGATTATAAAAAAAACGAAATTTTGTTGCGGAAACAAAATGTGTGCGCAATTTAATCCTCACAGATTTTCATGCCAGCTATATTTTTTACGTTTTTGGATATCGAAAGATTGAAAACAACCGGAATTATAACCAGAAATTATAGCACTACTATTTAACCTTGGTTTATAGCTCGTTGACTAACTAATTAACTAGAGCGCGTTTGGCAACACTCGAATAATCTAGTTCAATCATGGAATATTCCCTATTCCGAATCCGTCGATTTGTCTCGAACTTTCAGTGGTCATCTCGCAAATTAGTGAAAAAACAGGAAAATGATGCAGACTAGTAAGTAGCTCTCAAGTGAAAAAAAGAAGAGGAATCAAATCAATGGTATGATTCAAACGGTAAAACAGTAATCATTAAAGCTCGACAAACGATCTTTCGACTGAGAAAAAGTAGGTACACACATGCAAAGAAAAATAATACAAAAAAGGTAGAGAGGAAAGTAATTCTTAATAGGAAGAAGAGTAAGGAGCCGGATCCAAGCATCATAAAAACTAAACATACTTGCACAAGTAGTGATGGAAGCCAAGACGAAAATAAATACATTACCTGCATTAAAATTTGGAATTCACAAGCAAGCGAAAAAAATAGAAACAAAAATGTTGCCATTAGCAGGGAGCGTCCTGAACGCTAATAACATTAAATAAATAATGAAAGTGAAATGCTAAAATCGATATCGATTTGTGCACAATGCATAAAGCAGTTGTTTGTATTTTATAAGTTTAATTTCTAATTTTTTTATTCGAGAGCTTAGAACTACTACGCGGAATTGGGAAATCATTATTTAAACTGATGGTCCATAAAGTCCACTGACGTTCAAAAACGCTTGAAAGAGTGTAAAATTAAAACCACAACTTTTCATTTCGCTTTCCGTAGACGCAGATAAAAAGTTAAATTTTCAAATAAACGGCAACGATACAGCGCAACGAGCCAACTGCAGAGAAAACATGAAAAATACGTGGATGAGCATTGCGGTTCTGCAACTAAAATATGAAAGGATAACGTATGTAGTAGAATATTGAAGCAATATTACAATGACTAGAGTCAGAACAAAGCAAACATCCGATAATTTTAATCTCCAACAAAATATTAAGCACAATTAAACTCTGGAAAATGATGAGAGGTCAGAAACTCAGATTGTTAGATATATTATTACCCGCATAGTAATGCAAGGTATACTGCATATTGACGAGGCCAAATTACGTGATCGATTTGACCGTACGAACTTAACAAGCTTGTTTTCTTTGGATGCTGAAGACCGTCAAAAATTTCTAAAATAATAAATCGTAATTTTTTGAGAAATCTGCGAGGACATGCCTCATTTTGGACCTTAGACGTATTTAAAAACGTTTTTTGGACTCATATCTTCTTTCTCAGACAGTTGTTTTTCGAAGGCACATTTTAAAGTCATTTCGTACAATGTAAAAGGCTAAAACATAATCTTATGACACTTTTTTAAAAAATTGCCCCAAAAAGCCTCTCTACTTTTTCAAAATTATGAATAATTGATGCTTTGAACATGAAATTGAAATTTTAAATCGTCACATTTTTAATGAAGATTTTCAAATTTGATTTGATTTAAACAACACCCTGCATACGCCGTACGAGAAAGGTAGAGATTAACGAAACCGAATCTATCTATAAATTGACTTCCTTCGTTTTAACATGTTACTAAAGCTTACCTAGCAAGAACGGAAACATTTTTTT